GCTCAGGAGCTATATACATGGCATAGTCCCAGAAAATAAACATTTCCTGAATGAGCAGGACTGTAGGACTGATACACAAGTAGCAAAAATTCAGGGAAAAATCTCTGTTAACCTCGAAATGGACTCACAAAAGGATTAATCATCAGTGATAAATGTTCATGGTTCCCAAAGAGCTGAATGTGTTGTGCTATTCTGAGCAAATTCCATCTATCACTGTTGACCCGTAATAGCTATCCATCTATTACACTGACTAGTGAGGCTCTGCATCCAATGAGGTCAGCTTTATGACTTGCTTAGCTCCAAATTACTACAGTGGCTGTTTCACCATCACTATTGCCAAAGCATCCTCTTTTTCATAATTGCTGATACACAAACACGCACACTCACCTCTTCTTCATTCCAAAGCAAAAGAAGATAAATATGGGGACATGATTTTCTTTCCAGGTATGCCTGCCAAATTTAACTGAGCAATTAAAATATAGGCTTTCAAGCCTAATAAATTATTGAACATTGATTGAGTACTCTTTGTTAGGCCTCTGGGGGAATATGAAGATTCATTAATACCTGGTTCTCACCTTCACAGAGCTTACATTCTAGTTATTTTGCTAATACATAACTTCTTGAAAATTTCACTATGAGCAGTTGACATTTCTTCACATTTGTGTTTCCCCTCCTAGGAAAAGTGACTGGTAAATAATAGGTGACCAAAATAATACTGAAGAATGGTAATTAAATGATGAAATTAAGCAACAGTTTTAGGCAACAGTGAAGTACTCTTACAGGACATGATACAACTAATTTTAAAATGGACTGTGTACACAATGATACAGGAACAATGCTTCTCAAACTGAGTCCACAAGTTTGCTTCGAGAGTATTTTTTATTTTGTAGATGTTTGAAGGATATACACTTGAGGAACTTATATCCAGTTTCATATTTGTATGTATTTAACTGATAATGTAATTTAAATGATTTAAAGTAATATTAAGGATCCTCAGAAATACTATCCTTTTAATAGAATATTATTCAGTGCCATGTATGGATCTTATTTGAATTGTCTTTCTTTTACATTCAGAATTTTTATTTCAAAACAAAGAACCACGGTAACAATAATAGAAATTATTCACAATCTGGTCACTGAGAAATGGAAAAACTTCCACACTGTGGTACTATTTGAATTCTCTTTCAAACAAACTGCAAAATATTAAAAAAACATGATAGAATAAGGGAAATTAAATAATTACTGAATAGTTGATGATCCTAAGATATTATTGTTACTATTTTTAGGTGTTCTTTTTAAAAAGAAGTTACCTTTTAAAAATAAATACTGAAATAGCAATGAATGAGATGATATGATGTCTGGGATTTTCTCTGAAATAATCTAGGAGGTGGTCAAAAAATATCCCTGTGGCACCTTATTTCTAGATTAAGAAACTTGTGTTGTTGTTGTTGTTTTTAATAAATGGATTTTTGTGTTTGGCTTTTGTCCCATCCTAGTCTCTGTAGAAAATGAATAGGCATATAAGAATCACAGCAATTCTTTTCAGTTGATAATAATTACTATCAATCTTTATGGCCTGATTAGCTCTATCTTAAGGCATAAAGCTATCTGTTATTTTTATCATGTCAGATATATTCCAGTTTGAGGTGAAATGAAAAAGATTCATGATGCAAAAGTTTTATGATACATCATCCCAAGAATGCTGGCTGCTTGCCATTATAGAAAGTATTAGAGATGAGAAGTGACTGGCCTAAAATTATGGCTAATGAAATTATAATCTAGATTTATCAGCATCCAATATTTATAGACATGTTTATTCATTTATTTACATCAAATTCTGTAGTTTTAGAAATATCTTTGAAATTTCTTTCCCCCTTACTTTTATGATTTATCCAATTATCCATTCCATTATTTCTTTCAGAGTAAATATGTTGAAATTCTAATTTAATTCATGTATAAAGACTGATCCTGAGTATAAATTGACATATCCTCTGACATGAGGACAAATTATGCCACATAGTGACCGAAAATAGAACTAACCCAGAAAGTGATTTTGACGTAAGACCTCATTTTTTCCCCCCAGTGATTATTTCAGTCCCAGACTTTGGGGATGAGTCAAAACAGCCCAGAATGAGAGGGATTGGGGGATCAATTTTATACATAGTAAATTCAACAGTATGCAGGCAGATCAGTTGTTAGTAGGAACTTCTGAAAAATTGGATCATGTTTATCAATCAACATATATTTCATGAGCATTTCCTTTTTTGCCTGACACTGTTGCAGATACTGTGGGAAAATATAAAAATACCTGTGAGACAAATAGAAGACCTACAATCATGCTGAAGAAACAATACAATTGTTAAGAACAATTAAATGATAACTTTGTAGTAATACACAAATATAGGTTGATATTTCTGTGGATTGGAATAATTGATAAGGTTTTACCAAAGAAAACGGGGAATCAACTGTATGCTTATTAATCTTGGTTCTATTCTGGGTGGGATGACCATAAAGCAAAACAAACAACCCTAGAATCAGATTTGTGGGTAAAAATGACTTACAGTGATCCAAGCAGGATTGGTTTAAGCCTTCCAGCAGTAGACTGACAAAGTTACAAGATAAATTTCAAAAAGATGATTTCTATCTCCTTGAGATAAAAGAGAAGAAGTGTTCAACAGATTAAATTCTAGGCTCTGCTAAGCTATTATGTTAGTTTGGTAGTGCTGCATAACAAATCACCACAGTGTAGCAGCTTAAGCCAGCACATATTTATTAGCTCACAGTTCTCTGGATCAGGAGAAGCTATGGGCATAGCTCAACTGGGACCTCTGCTCAAGATTTCAAAAGGCTGCAGTCAAGATGTTGACCAGGCTACATTCTCAACTGGAGGCCCACATAGGGAAAAATCTCCTTTCAAAATCATTTAGGTTATTGGCAGAATTCTGATTCTTGTGGCTATAGGACTGCAGACCCGAGTTTGTTCTGGCTGTTAGCTAGCAGCTGCCTTTTGGTTCTAGAGGACAACCATAATTTCCTACTACATGAACCTTTCCATAAGCAGTTACAGTGTGTCAGTTTGCTTTGTCCAGACCAGCAGGTCTTAGAATTGGTCTGCTAAGAGTCATATGTATATATGATCTTAGGTGGTATAGTCACCTGTCTGTTTAATCTATATATATGTAGAGGTCTCCTAAGGTATAGATAGAAGATAGAGAGGTAGGTAGGTAGGTAGATACATAGATAGATAGAAGAATCTAATCATGGGAGTGACATCCTATCACCTTTGGTAATTCTTTTGGTTAAAATCAAGTTGCAGGTTCTTCCTGCATTCAGGGAGAGGAGGTTAACTCATTAGATGCCCAGTTAACTATCAGATATTTAATAATATATTTCTACCATATTTTACTGTATTAATGAACAACTCAGCATTTTAGTTGGTGATCTAAATAATCTCTTTATTCTTACTAAATCTCATTGTTAGGAGACAATTTTCTATGTGTCTTTTACATTCCTGCACATCTTGAGAGCAAGAGGCATTAACTTTTTGCTCAGATGTTTGTATAGCTAATGTCTCCCTCTAGGGCAGATGGCAGATCTGTTTCCTGACCAAGGTGATAGAGATAATTTTTCCTTCCTGGAAAACGTTAGGAAGGTTTGCTAGCATCTTTCTTGTACAATTGAGGGTTTCCTAAACACAAAATTTCTCAGCTGTGACACAGATCCACTGCATGTCCAGCATCCACCTGGGCTCATATCCTTATCAGCCCCATGGGACTTGGGGAGCAATGGGAATGGATTTGAACATGAAGCTCATGTTGCCTGCTGCGCCCTGCACGGTAAAGTCCTTTGTCTCTGACCCAGGCGTCTTATGTCTTCTGCCAGCATATATGAAACTGTGAACATGTTAAGGCTGGGCAACTTGGATCCTTCACAATTCCTGACACTCAGTTTTCCTCTAAGTGAGATTATTTCTAAGACTCCTTTCATGTTTCATCATTGATATTTTAATACTATCACTGGCTCTGTCATTTTTGTCATTGGCATAGAAGAACTCAACTATGTTTGTACTTGACTTCTTTTAAGGTTGTTTAAACACTCCTCAATAGTCTAGAGATAGTAAAGATTATTTAAAACCAGCTTTTGCAAATAAAGAAACTAAATTTATTTTAATTTGCTGGAACTGCTAATATGAGGCATTGGTTATTTGGGAAACAAATCTATTAGGACATTGCTTTGACTGGGAGTCAGGTGCTCATCCTTTAGCTCATGTTTTTGTTGTAGTTTTCTTTGGTTTATGGCAACATTATGAAATTCCATTCTTTGCATTTCTTTGAGTCGTGTTTAAACGTCAGTCTGTAATATTCCACATCCCATGTTTTCTTTAAACTTTCCTCTCTCACATTTTCAGACATTGTTGTTAATTAGCATTTCTTAATTTATATTTTCTGTTTATTATGAAAAAGTAGAATGCTTTGGCAGGAAATAGAATTGCGGTGAAGCATAAACAGTGTTGGGAGCCTTCAAGGGCATCCTGAAAAAAACTTGTACAGACAGGCAAAGCACACATGTGACAATTAGCTTTTCCATAGTCAGCAAAGGATCCACAACTGCAAGTGAGACTAGCCTGGTTTTGCTATTTTGTTATTTTCTTTAGCTATAATTGAAAGTAATAAACTAAAAGGTTAATTTTTACTGCATATGCAAAATTTATAGAGACTTCAGAAATAGCTAATCCATATTTTTCATAGAAAATTATATTTGGCTTAATATCTTAAAATAAAAACCTCAACATAAATTTAAAAAGTCTAACATTCTGACATGAATTTGTACACATGAGCAACCTATAAGTATATGTGAGAGCATGTATGTCCATGTGCATGGATGTGTGTTTGTGTGGTAGGTCAAACTAAAGTGACAATGTACCCTTACTTCCACCTAAGGGGCTAGGTTTTAGGCAAAATGACATTTCATTGAAGCCATCCTTTTTCCTCCTCCCTTAGCCTCAAATGATGATGATGATGACAACCATGATGAAGATACAGGTGATGAAGGCAACAATAGCTACAACAACAGGTAACATTTATCAGAGTCTCTAATGTGTATCAGGCATTATCCTATATGCTTTACTACTGTTTCATTTAATCCTTGAAACAGCTTTTGGATTGGGTATTATTAATAAACCAATTTCCATGAAACTGTAGCAAAAACAGCTTATGTAACTTTTTCAAATTCAAATAATTTTTAAGTAGTGTCAGAACTTTATGCTAAAGATTACTTCTCAGCAGACGGGGGATTTTTTGTTTCCCAGTTAAGAGCCATGAAAGAGACGAGGGAAAAAAAAACCCAAAAAATAGTTGAAGGTTGAATTAGTAAAAATGAACCTAATTTAGATACTGAGAAATCTATTAAATGTTCCACTTATTAATTTGGAACAATGATCAAAATAAGAAAAAATTACCAAAGAAATTTAGATAAGGTTGAACAGAGAGTATTGTTGTTGTTTTTGCTTCTTAGCATAGTAAACGTTTTAATGGAATAACTTTGGCTCAGGCAAAGGCGGTTCCTAGGTATCTCAGGGTGTGTGTGAACCCCAAGAAGCTGGGGCGTTCTCTGAGCCCCTGGGATCCATTTTCCAGAACGAAAGGGCTGGCCCAGGGTGTCCACCCAGCCTCCAGTGGCAAGGCCTCTCAAATGCAGAAGGTTCTTGGCCTCCTCCTCAGGACTCAGGACTGCTGCTCACAGGGACATCTCCTAGAGGTGATTCGTGGAGAAGGGTTGTTCTGGGCGGGGATAAGGGCCCAAGCAGCAAGGGCAGGGGAGGCCAGCCCAGAAATCCTTTTACCTAGGGGACAACCCCTAATCCGGCTGGGCAGTGGGTGGGACATCACACAGGGGATTCAGTGGTGGCTGTCACTGTCTCAGGGTGCCTGTCTTTGTGGGAGGGAGAGGAGGTGGGGAGGTTCGAACGGAAAGGGAGGAAGCCCAGCGACACTCTCCAGCGCAGTGCAAGGCCATGGCCAGGTGCCTTGATCTCCTGTGGCGTCCCCTGCAACCCCTCCAGCGTGGTCTGTCTCAGGCCGGGTCAGGGCAGTGCGTGGTCCTGGCCAGGTCGCATACCCTTCTCTGCGAGGAGTGGGGACGGCTCCCAAAAGGCCCTTGGTTCTAGACCAAAAGCTAGAAGGTTCTTTGAGGGCTTTCCCGTTCCTGTGTCTCCGTCTGTCTGGCTCTGTCAGATTAGTTTCAGCAGCATTCAGCGTGCCACAGTTCCTTTTGTAATTTAAAGCCCTCTCTAAATTGCACACTTCTCTCCTAATACCTCCCAATTTCTCTGCTTATCTTGTCAGAAAAAATCCCCCTAAAGAGCTGCCTATGCTTACTATCTCTACTTCCTTGATTTCTCCCTTCACGTCTCTCCAGTCAGGTTTCCTACCCAGCGTTCCACAGAAACTGCCTTTGCCAAAGTTATCAGTGATGTCTTTGCTGTCATCTTCAAGAGATATTTCTGGTTCTTATCTTACTGTACCTCTCAATGTAATCCAACAAAGTTGATTCTTATTTTCTTCGTGGAACAACTCCCTTTCTTTGTAACGTCATCCTTGACTGACCTCCTTTCTCACTGGTCTCTTTCTCAGTCTCTTTTCCTGGCTTCTCCTGCATAAACAAAGTCAAATCAAGCTTTTTCTTTTCATCTTTGTGCCTATCCCAGTACCAAGCTCTTGAGAGCACACAATCAGTATTTGCTGGATGTGTGAATGAAGAAGTGAACGGATAGATAAATGGATAATTTAATAAATGGAATGTTATGGATGTGTGTAGGTAAGAAAGCTTAATTTTGCTTGAAGCAGTCAGAAAAGTTTTTCTGAAGAAGGTGAAAATTGACCTGTGTTGAGAGAGTGTCAGACCTGTCTAGTGAACAAATAAAGCATTTATTTCCAGAAATGAGTGTTGCTATAAAATTGACATAGTGTACCATTCCTTTGGAAGCTTTGGGAGAATGTTTTATTCCAGAAGGAGAAAATAAACCAAGAAAGAGAAAAATGTAAGATCCAGGAGATCCAACACAAGTGAGAGGAAAAGGAAATCCCTTGGAAGATGGGTGAGGGAGAAGCTATGATGATGGGTGAGGGAGAAGCTATGATGATGGCTGAACATCAGGCCCAGAAATGAACAGTCCAGATTGGATTAGGAGGGCAGACCCCTGCAAGAGGAGTCTGATGGAATGTACTTCTGCCAAGGAAATTGAATCTGATAGGTACATAGAAATCCAGGTTAATTAAAAAGGGAGAGTTATTAAATATAGGTAAAATCAAAAGTTACGAAAAAGAAGAGCATAATGGCTCACATGTAGGTAGTGTTTATACAGTCATAATAATGCAAATCCTGTTTATTCATTTAATTAAAGTTATGTTTTACTTCTATTGGAAGGAGTAAAGAAAGGGAAAAATCTGTGCTTTGGGGAGGGATATGCATGAAAGGGAGCTAAATTCTCACGTTCTGCATGGGAAATTCATTAAAAATGGCTAAAACTGAAAAATTATTAAGTAGCCTTATAAATATATTATTTAGATATAAGGAGTTAAATGCTAAAAGAAAAAGCCAAAATAGTTGGAAATGGTTGCCCTCTGGAAAATAATGGAGGGGTAAAGTGATTACTTTTTTTTTTGCATAATCCATGTAGAAATATTTGACATTAGAATATACATTAAAAAGAATAAAATAAGGCAGAAGAGAAGTTAAACATTTATTTTCCTGTCCCATCCCAGTTCAGAAGGCCATTTAACAATGGCTCTTGAACCCACTGGCCCATTTCCTCAGAACCAAGCTTTTTGGCTCATTGGAACTTATTTTTTCTCAATATCATGCATAATGGAATAGAGTTGTTGTGTTCCTTTTAAGGAGATTTATTCTAAATTCCCACTCTGCTGAACAGGAAAAAAGCATACAGACCAAAGCTGGAGGAAAGGGTATATTTCTATGCACACTAAGTTTCTCCAATCTATTGTATGGGTCACTATGTAACCATTGACATTTCCTGGCTTCTGGTATTATTCAACAAGCTGAGTCATTATCTTAACTTTCCAAAATGGATCAGCAAACAACTGATTTTCCAAATGTGATATTGTCAGTTCAGGGTAAAGCTAGTTTCTCCGGCTTCTTGGTGTATGTTTAAGAAAAATTCAGGAAATTTGAGAATCTTAACATGAAGACTTTTATTTGTAACACTGAAAATTATTTTACTAATGGACTATGGAAAAATTCTAACATAATTGTAAAAGCTGAAAAATGTCACAGATTATTGGTAGACATATTTTCCTTCACATATGTGGATTCTTGCCCTTGGATTCTATTATTCTTTAATAATTATATTTCCGGTGTTTCTAGACAATAGTTATGAGCCTTTTGAGTCCTCCTAAGGCAGAAATTTATTTACGTAAAAGACAAAATAAGAACAAGTTTCATTATATTTCTCTCATAAGTGATGCACTTCTTAGGGATGCAATAGCACCATGAAAGTTTATCAAAATCATTGTAAAATGTAATATCAAATTATGTTTTGAAAAACACTGACCACAGTATTTAGCAAAAATGTCATGTACAATTGCTCCCTGATTCTCTTTTCTGAATGTGTGCTGTAGATTTCCTTATAAAATACTATTCAGTATGTATTTTGGGGTGAAAGGAAATATTGGTTAAACTAGTTCCCCCAAACTGGAGCCTGTAAATGAGAAGTGTTTCTGTAACTGTCTGAGCTGAGCATCTAGTTTCAAAATGCCTAGATTCAAATGTCACTGCAAATATTTATCAACTATGTGACCTCAGGCAAGTTTCTTAACCTCTCTGTGTCTCAGTTTTATCATTGTAAAACAGTGCAGTTAAAAGTATTGATGTCATTATGTTGTTATAATGACAAAACTTGGATCAACTGGCACACTGAAAGTGTCATATAGCCTTATGAATTTAGTCATTATTGTTGGAAATGTTCTTGACTTCTCCAAGTCTCAGCGATTGCAGGGAAGCAAAAACTATCTCCTATGCTTCCTCTGGTAAGGTGCCAATTTCTGCCTCAGGATATGCTCAGAGCTCTCTGGAATGGAATTTTCCATACAGTCCTCTGAAGATAAATTTAAGGAAATGTACGTGGAGAATGGGAAATAGGAATCATGTCAATCAGCTAGCTGATGTCCAACATTGAATGAGTCCAAGCTCATGACTCTTGCCTTCAAAGTTGGAGACATAAGATTTAGACATATATCATTTAGGAAGGAATGTTTTCAGTTGTTAAGTATTAGAACACACACTGGCTCAGTCAATCATCATCTTTTGTTATCTTATATAACTGGCAACCTGGAGATAGATAATTTCTAGTTAGGGGAAAGCAGTGGGAAAGCAGCCATCTGGAAATCCATACCAGAAATCAAACTGGCCAACAGAATTGTGAGAAAATAAATTTCTGTAGTTTAAGCCACCCAGTCTGTGGAGTTTGTTATGGCAGTCCAAGCTGACTATTACAGGAGGAAAATTTTTCCTAGAAACCTCTTGGTAAATTTTGCTTTACATTTAGTTACTGGAAAAAAGTCACATAGCCATGGATAGCTCCATGGAAAGTTGGGAAACTATGTGACAACATGCAGTGAGACGAGCACAATTGGCTTCTATCAGTCATAGCTGATCATGTGTGGCTGGATACATCATCATCCCTAACAAAGCAGATGTTCCATTCACAGGGGAGGAAGGCAATAGCTCTCAGATGGGCAAATGACATTTTTGCCACAGAGCCTGGAACAGTTAGAGAACTATACACACAAATTACATCCAAGTAGATATTCAGTTTATAAAATTGGGAGTGACCTCTAAGTATCTTAGGAATTAGAGAGGCAAACAGATCATTTGGAATCACATAGAAGATAACATGGAGCAGATAAGACATGTGCTAGAGGATCTTGTCCAGCCTCAAAAGTACCTGTGAATTGCAACCATATGTATTTGGTTTATCCTGCATTCTTATTGCTGCATCTATCCACTCAGTAGAGTGAGGCAGAATCCCAAGTTCATCCTTGGCCTCTCCTTCATAT